TCCACTGTAACATTTTTTTTTTTTCATTTTATTTTTTTTATTTCTGCATTAAAAAAATATATTGCAATTATGTGTTATGTCACTCTGCAAACTGATTGTTAAAAAAAACATAATACAAAATCAAATTAATCTTGATATATCAATTTGAAATGCATTTTGAAAATAAAGAGCTGGTCATCCAGTAATGAAGTGCTTTGACAGACCATAAATTACAATTAAGAGAATAAGAGAAGAGAGATCTTTAATTCTTGTGCCTTATTCCCTGGAGATTAGATAACACACATGCTTGATAAGAGATATGCCTTAACAACTTCCAACACCAAACTCATTAATTTATCTTTAACTGGATTCATGTCCAGTCATTATTCCCAAGAGACAAATGAAATTACATTATCTTCTGTGCAATGTAAAAACTGTTTTTAACACTTGATGATGTTTTTTTTTTTAAGTTTTTATGAGTAGTTTTAAGCTGTAGTATTTTTGAACAGATATTCTAGATTCTATATCTCAAACCTTATACATGAGCCCAAAATGAACAAGTCAATTAAAATAAAAAATAAAACCTGTAAAATGCAAAAAAATTAACAAAAAGGGTTGAAAATTCCAGGTGCACACCTTCATCTGGTGAATAATAAGTGTACAAATTTTCAGATTAATCCTTGCAATAGTTTCTGAGAAACGGTCCGGACAAAACCACAAAATAAAAATGAAAAAACACCTGTAAAATTCAAAATAATAATCGAATCAAGATGAAAATATCAGGTGCACAACTTCATATGGTGAATAATATGTGTACAAATTTTCAGACAAATCCTTCCAATAGTTTCTGAGTAATGGTCCGGACAAAATCTCGTCTACAGACAGACAGACAGACGGACAGACGGACATGGTGATTCCAATATACCCCCCCTAAACTTCGTTTGCGGGGGGTATAACGATACGCTCTTTAATGAAACGCAACTCTTCGTGCTAGTCCTGACTATGGAATCCGGATAGGGCCACGCAGTTCACTATCGCATCATCGCACCATCGAGGTTTGAGTCGATGGTGCGATGACGCGATAATGCGATGACGATGGAGCGATGAAGCGATAACGATGAAGCGATGGTGCGATAGCGCGATGACGATGACGCGATGGCGCGATGACGATGAAGCGATGGTGTGATGGAGCGATAAAGCGATGACGCGATGGCACGATAGCGATGGTGCGATAGCGATGGTGCGATAGCGATGATACGATGCTCTATCGTGTCATCATCAGTGCTCTATCGCACTATCGTCATCGCATTGTCGCACTATCGCCTCTTTTGCGCATGCGCCATTGAGAAGAGAAATGGCGTCAGGTTGTGAAAGTATGAACAGAATACATATCGGAAATAGATCTTACTGGGTGAATTAACTTCACTTGGCATAAGAATTAACCATGTCTTTATTGCCAGACATATAACAAGTTAGAAGATTGTTAAAATATAGTTTGATAATCTAGATAAAGTTAACAATACACTCATGTTGTGAATGATGTAAAAGAAATCGAAATCCGCGTGATCTAGATTTTGGTTTCTAAACGGGGGGGGGGGGGGGGGGGGGGGGGGGGGGGTTAATACTGTAGATTGGGAAATAATTACGATGGTATGGAATCCGGATAGGGCCTTGCAGTTTACTATCGCACCATCGAGCATCTACTTATAGGTCGATGGCGCGATAATGCGATGGCGCGATAACGATGAAGCGATGGTGCGATGACGATAGAGCTATGGTGCGATAGCGCGATGACGATGATGCGATGGTGCGATAGCGCGATGACGATGGTGCGATAGAACGATAGAGTAAAAGTGAATATCGCTTCATCGTCATCGTACCATCGCGCCATCGTTATCGCACCATCGCGTCATAGCACCATCGCTTCATTGTGCTATCGTACCATCGTCATCGCATTATCGCGCCATCGCTTCATCGTCATCGCACTATCGCACCATCACTTCATCGTTATCGCACCATCGCTTCATCGTCATCGCATTATCGTGTCATCGCATTATCAACCCAAACCTCGATGGTGCGATGATGCGATAGTGAACTGCATGGCCCTATCCTATGGAATCCGAATAGGGCCACGCACTTCACTGTCGCACCATCGAGCATCAACTTAAAGGTCGATGGCGCGATAATGCGATGGCGCGATAACGATCAAACGGTGGTGCGATAACGATGAAGCGATGATGCGATAGCGCGATGACGATGATGCTATGGCGCGATAATGCGATGGCGATGGTGCGAAAGCACGATTGAGCGATAGTGAATATCGCTTCATCGTCATCGTACTATCGCACCATCGTCATCGCATCATCGTGTCATCACTATCGCACCATCGCGTCATCGTACCATCGCGTCATCGCATTATCGCACCATCGTCATCGCATTGTCGCGCCATAGCATCATCGTCATCGCGCTATCGCACCATCACTTCATCGCTATCACACCATCGCCTCATCGTCATCGCATTATCTCTTCATCGCACTATCGACCTAAACCTCGATGGTGCGATGATGCGATATTGAACTGCGTGGCCCTATCCGGATTCCATACTATCCAGATTCCATACGATGGTTTTACTTTCACTATGTTCGTGATTCATTTTTTTCCCGCAAAATTAAACCCATCGTATGGAATCCGGATAGGGCCATGCAGTTCACTATCGCATCATCGCACCATCGAGGTTTGGGTTGATAATGCGATGACACGATAATGCGATGACGATGAAGCGATGGTGCGATAACGATGAAGTGATGGTGCGATAGTGCGATGACGATGAAGCGATGGCGCGATAATGCGATGACGATGGTACGATAGCACAATGAAGCGATGGTGCTATGATGCGATGGTGCGATAACGATGGCGCGATGGTACGATGACGATGAAGCGATATTCACTTTTACTCTATCGTTCTATCGCACCATCGTCATCGCGCTATCGCACCATCGCATCATCGTCATCGCGCTATCGCACCATAGCTCTATCGTCATCGCACCATCGCTTCATGTGATCGCATTATCACGCCATCGATCTTATAAGTCGATGCTCGATGGTGCGATAGTAAACTGCATGGCCCTATCCGGATTCCATACCATCGTGAAAGCTATCATTAACTATTAAAACAAGTAAATGCTTATACGAAATTTAAATTAATTTCTTGCATCGTGAAATCAGGGACCTATATACTAGTATATATAGGTCCCTGGTGAAATTAAACCCATCGCTATTGTATGGAATCCGGATAGGGCCACGCACTTCACTATCGCACCATCGAGCATCAACTTAAAGGTCGATGGCGCGATAATGCGATGGCGCGATAACGATGAAACTGTGGTGCTATAACGATGAAGCGATGATGCGATAGCGCGATGACGATGATGCTTTGGCGCGATAATGCGATGGCGATGGTGCGATAGCACGATTGAGCGATAGTGAATATCGCTTCATCGTCATCGTACTATTGCACCATCGTCATCGCATCATCGTGTCATCACTATCGCACCATCGCGTCATCGTACCATCGCGTCATCGCATTATCGCACCATCGTCATCGCATTGTCGCGCCATAGCATCATCGTCATCGCGCTATCGCACCATCACTTCATCGCTATCGCACCATCGCCTCATCGTCATCGCATTATCTCTTCATCGCACTATCGACCTAAACCTGGATGGTGCGATGATGAGATAGTGAACTGCGTGGCCCTATCCGGATTCCATACTGGGCAATCAAATCTTTGCTCGAATTAACTACCTGCTGAGAATGCCATCCTATCTATTTAGTCGATAGAGCGATGGTGCGATGACATGATGTGGATAGCGCAATAAAGCAATAACTATGGCACGATATAGCATCGCATCATCACTGTCGCGCAATCGCATCATCGCTATCGCACCAACGCATCATTGCTATCGTGCCATCGCATTATCGCTCCATCGTACCATCGCATCATCGTCATCGCGCCATCGCTTCATCGTTATCGCACCATCGCTTCATTGTCATCGCATTATCGCGTCATCGCACCATCGACTCAAATCTCGATGGTACGATGATGCGATAGTGAACTGCGTGGCCCTATCCGGATTCCATAAAGATGCGAGGATGCATAGTTTCTGGCTTTTCTATCTGGCTGTCTGCTTGTCCAAAACATTAACCTTGCTCATAACCTTTTACTGAAATGGACTAAGGCTTTCATATTTCACAGGTTTATTCCTTGTGACAAACCTTTCTTTATGTACATTGTACCACCAAATATGACCTCTTGGCCTTGGAGTTTGATCCATTTTTTTTCAAAAATTAACCACACATTACCCTTAGTCATAACTTATAAAGAGTTTGTGCTAGAGCTTTCATACTCCAGACAAAATGCTACAATCGGGTCATATTTAGATTAACATATTTCATATTTCTTTTTACTGTGGTGACTAGTGATTATTCATCATCGGGCTCCCGGTGGATGTTTCTGGTCGACAAAGGATCCTTAATCCCCAGGGCACTTGATCCCACTTCTGAAATTTATGGAGCCCGTGTTGTGTGCTCTGTTCATAGATTTGCATTGTTTTTAATGTTTTAATATTATTTTTTTTTTTGGGGGGGGGGCATCGTTCTTTGGATTAATGAAGCTTGTGCGTGCAGTTTTAGCTGGTCAGAGCTTTCGGATAACGCAATGTGTGTAGGTTGTTTGTCGATAAAAAAATTCAGTTTTAGTATCAAAGTAGTAAGTTACCGTGTTGAGGGTCAGTTAAAGTTGAACTTTTACACTGCATCATAAAAAATACTATACTAAAGTTCACACAAAATTAAACATATTTTCTCTTTAATAAGTTCATCTAAGAAGATATTTGCAAATGTAAATATTACACTATAAACATAGTTATGTTTATAGTATAGTTATTGTAGATGTATAATTTGTTTTCACTATTAAGATGGGGAGTGCCTATGATAAAAATCTAACTCGTCTGTTTTTTAGAGTCTCGACTTCCTGAAGCAAATCAAAGTTTCCATAAGTAAAGCAGACTACCCTCCTTATCCTGTTGTTTACCTAGTAAACGTCATTGAAGATTCGGCTGCAAAAGGATGCCAAACTTTACATCAAGAACTAGCCAATCTTGTAAAAAATGCTTTTGATGACAACGACAAACATCTTGCATCGCGAATATTTTTTAAAGGGGAGAAGGGTATGAAAGAAAGATGTTCTAGAATACTAGAGAAATCATTCTGCGATTCCTTTGTAAATATAAACAGTTCCTTAAAACAAGATGCTCAGAACCATCTTAATAAGACTACTGTTTTTTGGAATTGCGATTTATTTACTCGCGAAGCTATGACCATCTTCAGCGAAAGGGAGGATGAATTAAACGAAACAATTCAAAATATAATGAAGGACAACCATGATGGAAAAATAAGCACAATTAGCAAAGCTATTGCGACAGTTGTGAAAGACGAAATATGCTGTGCAATAGAACAGAGTTTAGGAACACATTTAGATTTTCAAAATTTCAATTCCGATAAGCCTGGAGAAAGTTGTTGTTTTATTGATATGATAAAGCACAAATTATGGTTCAAAAAGTCGAGAGGTGAGACCATTGCCCTCTCCGAAATTTTGGATTCTTCTTCAATGCCTTTGGTGGAGGAATACATTCGTAAACAAGGACAAAATCTACGCAGAACAGATCAATATCAACACTTGATTAAGGAACTTGATTCTCTGTCTGAGGTCATCCAAGAGCAAAAAATGTGCATGAGGGAAGACATTCCATATGAACTACAAATTTATTTGTGGCGGTAAAAATATTTTATTTTTTAAGGAGAAAAAAGAGAAAATGATGCTATGTGAGTGTTTTTAAATTAAAATGTGTTATTTTTATTTTCAGTTTGAAACATGTTATATCCGTCAAGAAAAGAGATAAAACACTTCATATTGGTGTTTCAAGAGCAGAATTTTCAAATAACCAAAGTTTTTTAAAGAATGCAATCCGAGCATTGCTAAGGGATTGGAAAGAATTCGAAGAAAATGACTTCATTCTGCAACCTTTTGCAAAAACTATAAATTTTCTTATGGAATTCGGGTCGGGAGGAACAGTTGGTCATTATGTGAATGGCGTATTCAGGCGTGGGGTTGCGGGTGTGATTGGGGACATGGCTGGTATTGTTCAGTTTGCTATAACGTGTTGTCATGTGGCGCCGCCTGGATATACAATATATAATGATAAAGAGGAAGCTATTGGGAAATCATTTAATAATTTGTGTATCAAAACCGAAGATGAACATTCAGTAGGTCTCCTAGATTTTTCTGCAGTTCCTATGAATGAATTAATATCAGTAAAGCAAGACTTAAGGCCTCCAAGAGTCCTTGATGTAAATTTTAGTGTTGAACTGTTCGACAAAGACTTCTCGGTATTGCAGAAACAGAACATTGATTTATATTTCCATAGGAAAGGTGAACATGAGCCAGTAATTGTTAAATACATGGGAGAAACCTATATACAGTACAATGACGATTCTGATGAATTTAATAGTGGTCCTGTAAAAAACAACGAAAACCGTTTTCCATTTCGAAGATTAGATGTTGTGATACCCAGTAACAGCAACAGAAAAATTTGTCCGGGGGATAGTGGGTCCGCTTTGTGTTATTTCGACCAAGAAGAAAACGCTGTACAAGTTGTGTTTTTAATTGTCGGGGAAAACGATGAGGGGATCGTTTGCTGTAGACTTAACGAAGCACTCATGTGCTTAAAAAACAGAGCAGACTACCATATCTCCTTACTCCCTGTTTAAAAGAACACTGAACACTTTCATATCATGCTCAACTTTGCCATATTTTTTTGGGGGGGGAAGGGGGGGGGGGATTGTACATTTCTGTTTACATGTGGCATAGTTATTACCTATTTGTTTTCTCTGTGATAACTATTTGAAAGTTAGGTGAGTTGATTTCTTGATCATTCAAATGGGATGTAAATTTCGCGAACTGAAAGGTCAGGAGACCTAATATTAATATGTATGTAAATCTCTGCACCTGTCTTCTGAGTTTGATGTCAGTGGATGGGGACTATTGAAATTAACATGGGAGGCCTCATGTAATTTAAATCTATTAAAATTTACAATTTTATTTCACAATGAAATGTACATATAAGTAATTACCGTCTCGTTTGTTGGGTATGCCAGGGACTTCAATGGTAGTTGGAGACGGGATAATTTGCATAACAGGCAAAGAAAATTGAGGCGAAAATCATGAATTGGCAGGGAAATAATTGTAAAGCAATTGATATAACAAGGAGTTTATGTATATATCATTCTATATACTGAAAGTAAGTTGTGCTATAAATTTTGATTGATAGCTATGCTTATTTGTTTTCATATATAAAGTAAAAGTGGTGCACTTTAATTTTTAAATTTTAATACAGCCATTTAAATTGTATGCCTTGATCAATGCATATCAGTTATTCCTACATACACTCTTTTGTATTAAATACCTACATATAGAGAATAATATATACCCTTTTCCAAATCACATTCTGTATCAGCCCAAGACACCAGTATTAGCAAGAGGGCCAAAGGGCTGATACAGGATGTGATGTGGAAAAGGGTATGTTTTATTATGTCTGTTACATATGCTTAGCAATAAATTACTATACACATCAACTTGAAACAAGAGGCCCATGGGCCACATCGCTCACCTGAGAAGCTTTGACCATTCTGTTCTTTACCAGATTTCCCCCTTGTTATACATAATGCATCCCCACCCTACCCCACTGATCATAATTTAGACATTTTGAAATCTACACTACCCCATGATCCTTCCATGGGCACATATGTTTCAGCTTTTTTGGCCCATTGGTTCCTGAGAAGAAGATTTTCCTATATATTTCTATGTAAAACTTTGATTCCCTATAATGGCCCCACCCTTTCCCCGGGGGTCATGATTCCTACAATTTAGAATTTACACTACCCCAGAATGCTTCCACATAAGCTTCACTTTTTCTGGCCCAGTGGTTCTTGAGAAGAAGATTTTCAAAGATTTTTCCTATATATTTCTATATAAAACTTTGATTCCCCATTGTGGCCCCGCCCTTCCCCCGGGGGTCATGATTTGAACAATTTAGAATCTACACTATACCAGGATGCTTCCACATAAGTTTCAGCTTTTCTGGCCCTGTGGTTCTTGAGAAGAAGATTTTCAAAGATTTTTTGTATATATTTCTATGTAAAACTTTGATTCCCCATTGTGGCCCCGCCCTTCCCCCGGGGGTCATGATGTGAACAATTTAGAATCTACACTATACCAAGATGCTTCCACATAAGTTTCAGCTTTTCTGGCCCTGTGGTTCTTGAGAAGAAGATTTTCAAAGATTTTTCCTATATATTTCTATGTAAAACTTTGATTCCCCATTGTGGCCCCGCCCTTCCCCCGGGGGTCATGATGTGAACAATTTAGAATCTACACTATACCAGAATGCTTCCACATAAGTTTCAGCTTTTCTGGCCCAGTGGTTCTTGAGAAGAAGATTTTCAAAGATTTTTCCTATATATTTCTATATAAAACTTTGATTCCCCATTGTGGCCCCGCCCTTCCCCCGGGGGTCATGATTTGAACAATTTAGAATCTACACTACCCCAGGATGCTTCCACATAAGTTTCAGCTTTACTGGCCCAGTGGTTCTTGAGAAGAAGATTTTTTAATGACCCAACCCTATTTTTGTCTTTTCTTGATTATCTCCCCTTGCGAGGGGATATGTCCCTTCATTTTAACAATTTAAATTCCCCTTCACCCAAGGATGCTTTGTACCAAGTTTGGTCAAAATTGGCCCAGTGGTTCTTGAGAAGAAGTCGAAAATGTGAAAAGTTTACAGACGGACGGACAGACAGACGGACGGACAACGGACAAAATGTGATCAGAAAAGCTCACTTGAGCCTTCGGCTCAGGTGAGCTAAAAAAAAATATATAAATACAATCTAATTAAAATCAGACTTCTTAGATCTTCGCCGTATACACTCTTACGCAGAGTGTATATACGGCGCGGATCTAAGAAGTCTGATTTTAATTAGATTGTAAATAAAATAATCATATACAGACTTCATAGCTTATTGTCTCGCAGTGTTTGGGTATGTTTCTAACTTTCTACTTCTATTTCAAATGTGTCCACTCCATAGTTTGAAAAGGTCTTTTGTCAAATTATCCTTACAATCAAAAAGTTAATATTAAGAGAATATGTAGCCCAAAAGAATATGTGTATTATTACAAGTACTGTTTTGAGGTTTAATTTACTAGGGGTGTGATATTGATCCTTATCAGTACTGCAAGGCTGATATGGGTATTGTGACAGGCATATCACATATGCAAAAATCCTGTATTTATTACTAAGTATGTAATAAATACCTATTAGGCCTGTATACATACTTATGATGACTTTGCTCTTCTTTTTAATTTCCATGAATACATGTATTCTCATCTTTGCATATACGTTTTGTGGTAATCTGCCCCAAGGTTCTGTCGAAGAAGATTTAGCAACCACAACTTAAATTCATTTAGTTCCCTGATTATCTCCCTTTGATTTAATGTCACATCTCCATTTTTAGTATAAAAGAGAGCCCTTTGGTCATGAAAACTTAAATTTTACTTTGTTCGAGGGTTTTTTGAGAAATTAGCCATATTTCAAAGAGCCTTCGCTAATTATCTACTAAATGGTATGCAGTTTTACTGGAAAATCACATATTTTCGTGGGGTCAAATTTTCGTGGTTTGAGTAAAAACCCTTGGTTCTTGGGGATTTGAATTCGTGGATGGAGAATTGTGGAGTAGTTTTGAGTAGTTTTGTATGTAACATTTTACATTTCGTGTTGGACATGAATTTGTGGGTCTCTTCATACCTCAAAAACAACGAAAATTAAACCCCCAGGAAAAATGGTGATTTCACAGTATTCATGATCCTGTAAACATGCACTGTAATTCAAAATTACAAGTATTTTGTACATAATGGAAAACTTTTAATTTAACTTGTATCACAGTTCTAATTAGAGCTTAAGTGATATATAAATTTAATTGTTGATTTTCTCTTTCCTTCACACATACTGCATCCTGGACTGGAGTTTTTTCTTTGTGTCCTCTTGATCAATTTGTTCCACAGTCAATAAAGACAGGCCTAACTGGTCCTCCTGTTAAAATACACAAATTTGTAAAAAAAAATAGTTAAATTTGTAATTTAAACTAAAAATAATCAAATTTGGATGTTTTATATTGTGACAATTAAAGTTTTGATAAATTTGTTTAAGTATCACTGGCCATTTGGCAAATTGATTTATTTTTTTTGTCTTGTAACACATTGGATATTTATGAGAAACTACCCTGGAGAAAGGCTGGGCCATCTGTCTGAGGAATCGTTTGGCGACCTGCACGGCCTCGTCTGTAGACAGATTACACAATCCGTCCTTAAGGTGCTCCTGGATCCAGCGAGGAATCTTACTCCTCTTGTCAGCTCGGGCAAATCTCTGTCAAAGTTGTACAGTACAGGAATTCAAAACAATGATTTGATTAATACAAATATTTTCTGCATTTCATTATGAAACACTTGAATCAATGTCAATATTTTTTCTGTACTTTAATGCAAGACATTACATTGAATGGGAATTCGGATTTAACAGATTTATTGCAAGTTTATTCCATAATTTCATTTTCCTTGAACAGAATGTTCTCATTTTATAATATCAAATAATATACAGTGTATGAATTTGAAAATCATACTTTATCTGCAAACACCATGATGCCATAGTCTGTCTTTCCTCTCAGGGCCCTGCCTACACACTGAGCTGCGTGTCGCATGGCATCAAAAGTCAGGAAGTCGTTCTCTCGGATCTGATACTGGTCACGTAGGTACTCTAACCGGGCCTGAAGGGAAAATCATTACACAGTATAACTTTGATCCCCTGTTGTATCAAGGGTTATGATTTGAACAAATTTTAATCCATACTGCATGAGGATTCTTCCATATAAACATAGTTAATCACAGCCATGCTGCTCTGGAGAATTTTTCTGAGGACTGTAGTTTTGAAAGCTTCATCTTAACATAATATGGTCTGTATTTGGTTTTTAAATAAAGAGAAAGAGAGAGAATACCTTTAAAATTTTACTCTGTGTATAAACATATGGAACTCCAAACATAATGACTGCTCTCCCAAAATGATGGTCTGTAATATATGTATACAAAAAGAATTGTTTAATCATAAAAAAAAAATGTAAGGAGACAGATTGTAGAGAGGTTGAAGAGTTATCTCCCTTATCACTCTATTAGCATAACACACTAATTATCTGTCGCAGAGTACGGTTTGGGGAAATGGTAACAGTGTTAAAATAGTAGGGATTTCATTATACTCAGTTGTGTACTTATGTGTAGATGAAGCCTATTACAGTTTATTTCTACACTGGTTGCTATTAAATGCACACACACCATCTTATTTCCATTGTTTGCTACAAGCTACATTGAACTACCTGTTATGCATTTTTCATCCACATATCAATCATCTTTCAGAATATTCATTTAGGGGATACAGGATTAAATGAAGTTTATCTGAATGATTACTTGGGAAAATATTGATTTGTAATATGTTTACCAAAATCTATCCCCTCCGACACTTTTCCTCTGGCCACAGATAACAGTACCGCACCTCTTCCATTTTCACATGCCTATTGTAAACAAACTTTACAGAATTACTGGGTCAGTTACATTTGAAAGGTCAGCATGTTTCTTATTCAAAAGCATTAAACAAACTACAAAATGCCTTACAAAGAGTGATGTCAACTAATTGTCTCCCTAATGACAGGTAAATCTACCCCTTTTTACCTGTACATACCTTTTGATAATTGAGCAGAGCAAGAGAAGTTTCTGCAGCATCTTGTGTTTCTATAAACAGTAGCTTATGTTTTTGTACCTGATCAATAATGCCCTGAAATAAAAAAAGATATTATAAGATTAAATAACAATCTTATATCTATTCATTAAACATTTAATACTAAATGTGCATTCATTTAGTTTGCTTCTTCTATAAGAATATAAATGTTTACAGTGTAATTATCAAAGTGTGAATCAATAATTGCTTTTAAATTGTTTAAATGGTGATTTAAGGTCCAAATGCAGTAATAATTATTGATAATCATGACAGGCAATCAACACTGTGTTAATGACATACATTGTTTATTACATAAAAACATCTTCTAAATGTTGCAACCAGATCAACACTCTCAGATATTTACCTTTTTTTTTTAGGGAATTTATACTTTAATTTGACAAATTAATTATACCATCTTCAAATCTGTTTTTGAGACATCTTCAATGAACACTTATTAAAAATATTATTGATCATATATTTCACATTTATATTTAAAGTTAGAAAATACTAATTCAAAAGATAATTTTTATTCAAAGGTAAAAAAAATTATTGCTATTTCTTCATTAATTTAGTTGTTAAAAATTTCAAATAAAAAAGCAAATCTCAGCTATATTTTTTTCTATTCAATCTAAAATTTTTAGCATAAAACTTTTGTTTAATATATTACTTTTCAAAAAAGTCATTATATATAGTTGTGTTTATTTCAATTTCAATTATTTATTTATTTTTATTGATTTATTCTTTTTTATTTATTTATTTATTTTATTATTATTATTTTTTTGTAAAACATTTCTCTATTTACAATAGCAACATTCCTTTGGAGGTCAAGCATGAACTGTCAGTGCTCTATGTCATCCAATCAGAGTTCCAGAAATTCACTTCCTTTCACTCTACTGCACATGACAGGTAACCTTGACATGTAAATGAGTTATGCCAGAGCCAATGAAGAACACTGACATTGAGAACTTTGACCCTTGAACCTTCCCACTATATATATCTACTAAATAAGGCTTTTAAACTCTCATTCAATAGCAGAGGGTCAGTTTAAACCAGTTCCTATTGTCACAATACAGATTTCCTGCCTGAGTGACTGAGGGAGGGAAAACACTGCATGAAGCATGGATCCACAAAACAATGGACCAATTTCTACCACAGACAGGAGTTTACAGTCAGAAAACACCAGTGAAGTAGGTGAGAATTATTCTGAGGACTCCAATGTATACCCTGACACTGTGTCTCAAAGTTACAGATGTACCAATGTTGTGTGGCCATACTCTCCCATTCCTTCATGTTCTGACGGTTATAACCCTCACACAGCAGTCAAATCTGAATCATTTGACCTGAGTAATTCTGCAATTTGTCACAAGGCAGTCAGTGAGCTGTATCAATACAGCAGTGTGCCATATCATGACTATACAAACATTTATCCCAGTCAGTATGCAGAGTGGCAGCAA